GGGGAGGAGCACATGATGAGCTGGGCAGGTGGATGCTGGGAGTGGCGGCTGTGGTAGAAGCAGTGACATGGTGAGGCTGGTGAGCCACCTGTGGCCTTGGGTGGTTTTGGTATTTGAAGACACCATCATGTTTTGTCCCAGGCACATGAGGCCTTGCACAACCCCTTCTCCCTGACCCTGTGAAGGCCACAGAGGACCTCTTCGTATGTCTCCAGGGGAAGGGGAGGGGTCCTGGGATCTGCAACCTAGTGAAGAGTGTACCCCTAGGGCCCACCTGTTGCTGTCTGGTCCCTAGGAAGCCTACATTGCAGACCTGGACGCCAAGAGTGGGGCAAGCTTAAAACTGACCTTGCTGAACCCCAAAGGAAGGATCTGGACCATGGTGGCTGGAGGTGGCGCCTCTGTCGTGTACAGGTGACTGAGGGGTCTCAGAAGGGATGGCAGCTGGGTTCACACAGGTGGCTTCAATCAGGCTGTCTCACCTCGGGGTCTCCAGTTTCCCCCCTTGGTGCAGAGCAGCGACTCATGGGGCATCCTAGAAGGGCCTACTCACGGTGTCTTCACAGCCTTCTTCATAACTTCACAATGAAGTCATTAGTTTTAGTTCTCAGAAATTGTGACATGTTCTTCACACAAAAGTACAGCAAATACAGGAAATGAACCAGAATGTGAACGTTGCCTGGCCGTGTCACCTCGCACCCCACCCCACGAGGTCACCACAGTGAATACACTGGACATCCATCCGGGTGTTTTAGTGCCTGTATAAATAGTCACACTTTTACACTTAATGGAAATGTTGGGAATCATATTCTGCAGCTTTTGTAACAATTGGTGGGTTTTTCACGTAAAGCACAGTAGACGTCCGCTTGTTTCTAGATTGTAATCTGCCATAGCCCCCCAGGGTTGGCTGGACTCTCCTCCGGCTGTAGCAGTTTTATTTCTTCGCTGGGCAGCCTGCCAGGAGCTCCTGGAGCCCCACGTCTTCTTAGTGTCAGGACATGCTCCTTGTTCATTTCACCCACCGCTGTCAGTCCAGGGCCCGTGATGGCCTGGGGCTGGTGGAATGCACTTCCTGGGAGAGTCTGATGCAGCACGATTAACCTTCAAGTGTGACTTGTGTGGGGCATGAAGGTCTGAGGTCTGAAAGCTCAGTTCCATAGGCTGCCTGACGTCAAGGCTTCAGGGGTGTCTGCATGGCCTCCCAGGCATCAGGCTGCCACTGACTCTCGTGTCTCCCTGGCAGTGATACCATCTGTGACCTGGGGGGTGTCAATGAGCTGGCGAACTACGGGGAGTACTCAGGTGCCCCCAGCGAGCAGCAGACCTATGACTATGCCAAGACGATCCTCTCCCTCATGACCCGCGAGAAGCACCCAGATGGTGAGACACACATGCTCCTTCCCCAGGGCGGCCCCCGAGCTGCAGTGGGAACAGCTTTGGGTGGGTTGGGAGGCACTGAGGTTGTCCTGGTCCTATGCAACCTGGGGCTAGCCATTTCCTTCTGGACCTTGGTTTTCCTGACTGTGCAGTGGGCAGTGACAGCATCTGCTCCAAGGGGGTGAGAAGGTGAGGGATACATAAAGCCCTATGAGCAGGTGCAAGGGAGGCGGCGGCGTGCCTCTGCTGACTGCTGCAGACACAGTGCTTTGTGGCCCACTTGTACATTTACTCTCCTAGCTGTGCGATTCCTAGCTTCCCTTTACCATCTGTCCAGTGTTTTGGGGGTACACACACCAATTCCCCTTCCCTTGAGCCAGATGGAGATTCTCACCAAGGGTATCCAGAAACCAAGCTGGGTTTCTAGATGCCATCTAGGAGTGATGCAGTGATTCTTGGGTTTGGATTAACCACCTGCTCGTCATGGGTGATGGAGTGTTGAGTTGATAAGAGGGAACGGACGTCAGGGTGAGACCAGCTTGCAACCCTCGCCTCTGCGCTATTTGGGGGACTCGCCTGGAGGAGAGAACCCTCCCTCAGTTGGAGTCCTGGGAAGATACCGAAGTCTACCTTCCTAACCCTTTTTTTGGCTTCTCTCTTACCCCAAACCTAGGCAAAATCCTCATCATCGGAGGCAGCATTGCAAACTTCACCAACGTAGCTGCCACATTCAAGGTAACCACCTGGGAGAGGGATGTGTGTTTGGGGGAAGTGGGGAAGGGAGGTCTCTGCAAGAAGGTATGAGATGGAAGCAGGTTCCCATGAGTTACCCAGTCCGGGGAGGGGCTCTTGTCCCATGGGTGTGAAAGATACTGGGATGGATCTGGATCTGAAGCTGTTTCATTGGGCAAGCAGCTGACCCTTGCTGGGCCATAATTCTCCCATCTGAAGTGTGCCCTACCCCCTTTCAGGACCCATTCTTAAAGAACCAGCTTGGTTGACCCCATTTGCAACACTCCATTGTGAGACTCTGGATTCTCTGCAACTCCTAGTGTTTTGTCTCCCAGTCATCTGCCCTTTCTCCAAAAGATCGGCTTGAGGAAGTAGTTTGTTTTAAAAAAAATTTTTTTTAATGGAGGTACTGGGGATGGAACCCAGGACGTTGTGCATGCTAAGCATGTGCTCTACCCCGAGCTCTGCCCTCCCCCGTGAGGAAGTATTCTGGTGTTTGGGGATTCCTGTTCATCCAGCCAGAGGCCCGTCAGCCTGGACCCCTGTGCACAGGTCATGGGTGTGGGCACCAATTTAAAGACAGTGTGACTGCCGGGCAACAAGGATGACAGCTGACATGTCTCGAGACTCGGCCCCTTCAAGGTGGCTGGCTCAGGAGACCACTTACTTTCCCATACTGTCAGGTGCTCACTGAAGCTGTTCAAGAGAATGTGTCCCTTGCAGTGGCTCCATAGAAGCTTTGAGAATAATGAATAATGTCACTCTTGAAAGGCTGAGCTCTTGAGAAATAGGGGGCCAGGCTTTGTCAGTCCTGCCTAAAACGGGTCCCTAACTGAGCCTGATTCAGCAAACAAATCTGACACAGGTGAATTTCACAGCTTTGTTTTAACTTCCAAGCAGCCCTGTAATCAAGGCAGGGCCCTTGTGAGGGCAGTTTTTGGTCCGGAGCAGAAACTGCATAGAACTTCTGGGGAAATGTCTTGAGCGGCAGAAATTCGACTCAGTAAACTAGTCCTCTGTCTGGAGAAACCAAACTGGTCCACACCTGTCATCCTTCCACGTCTCCAAAGTTCATACCCACTGCACAGCTGTTCCCCAAATCACTTGAAGAAGCTTCATAGGACTTTGACATTTAAGACATTTAAGTGTCCTAAGAACTCTGACAGCTCTTGCATAGAACCTTGGGTTAGATTGTCTACCTAAACTGCAGTAAGAGATAACGAGACGGGACAAGGGAGACCAGCAAAGGCGCACTGACGTAGGAGGCCCAGCACCCTGTGCATTGAGGAGCGTCACCCCTGGGCACCCCATGTTCTCACCTGAGCCCTGTTACAAGTGATTGCCTGTCCTGGGCCTCTGGGTTGCTTGTGTGCAGTCTAGTCCACCTGTGAAAAATTCTTGACCACCAGGGCCTGCCTACCATGCTTTCTGAGAAGCAGCCCTTGTCATCTGCACCCAGGACGTTTGTCTCTCAAGGTTATAAATGATTGGTTTCTGGCTGCCTTATTTCTAGTCACATGTCTGTTGTCCCTTTGTGCTTCCAGGGTATCGTGAGAGCGATTCGAGATTACCAGGGCCCCCTGAAGGAGCATGAAGTCACGATCTTTGTCCGAAGAGGTGGCCCCAACTATCAGGAAGGCCTACGGGTGATGGGAGAAGTCGGTAAGATGGGGGCACTTTTTTGTCTCTCGCACCCTGAGTGTCAGTGCCTCCTCGGGATTCAGGCAGTCTTCCAATGCCTCCGTGTCCCCCACCTTCTGAAAGTGCAGCTTGCTTCTGTTCTGTGACTTCCTCTGACACGGAGCACCTGACCTAAACCTGAATTCACAGTGGGCAGGAAAACATCTTCATTCAGCTACCTGTTTAGCAAATACTTGTGGAACGGCTTCTCTGCCCCAGGTCCTGTGCTAAGCGCTGGAGTCACAGCCACACACATGACAGATGATGGACAGCAGGCCCTGTGCCATTGAGAACGGTGACTTCAGCGTCAGGAACCACCCTGGGCCACGAAGGAAGATGAGCAGGGGGAGGGTAGCATCTGTGGGAGGGGACGGGGGCAGTTTTAAACAAGGTAGCTTGAGAATGCTTGACTGAAAAGGTGGCATATGAGCAAAGACCTGGAGGGGAGGTGGAAGCAGTCAGCATGACTGTCTGCAGAGGAAAGGGCGAGTCCCAGGGCCCTGAAGTGGGGCCAGTAGGGAAGGCTGAGGCAGTGAGGGGACTGTCTCCCTCCCTGCTCCTTTCAGTCCAGGGCACTGCTGTGTCCTGGACGGCTCTGTCCTGGATGACTCTGTCCTGGACAGCTGCTGCAGCCTCCAAGGTGCTCTCCCCACTTCTACCCGGCTACCCTGTATCTGGTCTCCACCCGGTGACCTAAATAACCCTTTTGAACCTAAGTCGAATTGTGTCACTCCTCTGCTCAAATTCTTCCAGCAGCTGCCGGAGTCACAGCCAGGTGACCTGAACTAACCCGCACATCTGCTCCTTAGCCTCTCTGCCTCCATCTCCTGGCGCTCTGCCCTGGTGGCCTAGATGTCGGGGCTGGAGGGAGGGGTCCGGGAACCGGTAGAATGGGAGGGAGGTGCCCCTCTCTGAGCCGAGGGATCAGAGGGTGCGGTGTCTGTTTGGTTTCCTTCCTTCTGCATTTTGCGTGTCTCCTTCAGGCTCCTGAGACCTCAAACTCAGAGCTTCCAAAAAGCTGGGGACCACGTCTTGTCAGTCCAGACTAAGATTGGGTCTCCTTAAGTTCACTTGATTGAACCTGAAATTCGTGAACTTTATGACCAGCAGCTTTGGTCTGAGCGAAGCACAGCCATGTTGCCGAGAGCAGCTGTGTGCAGGGCGGGGGTTCAGGTGACGTGCGGGGAGAGGCGGGTAGAGGGTGCTCCTGCTTGGTGAGCGGTGCCCTCTGACTGGAGAGACAACCTTTTCATCTTCCCGTTTTCCCAAATCTGGTATCCATGGCAAACACTAAACCCGCCTAGATCCCTTGAAGTGGTGTCAAGTCATAGTTTTCACCTAGCACTGAGCACCTGCCATGGGCCTGGCCCTCGGGAGAGCACAGTGGCTGTTACTCAGTCACACCTGGGACATTAAACTCACAGGACATTAAACAAGTGAACAGGGACCGGAACAAGATGCTGTCCAGTGAGGAGCCACACAAAGCAGGCATTGTTGGGAATGACTGTTGAGGTCAGGGAACACCTTCCCTGGGAGGTGGCACTTGAGCTGAGCCGAGTGACGAGAGACCAGCTGGATGGCAGCTCTGTGCAGAGGAAGGAGCAGAGTCAGAGCCCTGGGGAGACGAGCCCAGGTGTTGAGAAACAGAGGTCAGGCCTGGGAGGCTGGAGTGTGGGGGCTGCTGGCGATGAGTGTTGAGGGGAGAGGATGAGGGCGGAGGGCGGAAAGCCAGCTTCCAGGCCGAGAACAGGAGGAGTGCAGACTAACGATGCCCGTGGTCACTTGAGAGTATCCAGAAAGCTGTTTCTTGCTCTTAGTGGCCACTGGTCTTTTCAAAAATCTGTTTGGTGGTGAAAACAGGACCACTGCCTTGTGCTGGGTAGTTGGCCTTGCACAGAAAGCCCCAGCCATCTGAACAGGGCTCTAAAGGGGCCTTGGGCACTTGTTAGGAGACTTGAATGATGGAAGCTTTTCCTTCTCTCACAGGGAAGACCACTGGGATCCCCATCCACGTCTTTGGCACGGAGACTCACATGACGGCCATTGTAGGCATGGCCCTGGGCCACCGGCCCATCCCCAATCAGCCGCCCACGGCCGCCCACACAGCCAACTTCCTCCTCAACGCCAGTGGGAGCACATCGGTAGGTACTGGCCTTCCTCTACCATAAAGCCTGCAGGGTCATCTTTGTTGCCCCTCTATCCCATCCAGGGCACAGTATTCTCTGTCCTCAGCCTTTTGGGGACATTGGGGAGATACAGGGCGGTAGTACGTGGTTGCTTTCTATATCTCTGCCAGTTTTCTTCTGCCCTCATCAAGGTAGTATAATGGAGAGACCAGGGTTTTTTTTAATCAGACCTGAGTTCAAATCCTGCTTAGAGAGACCATGGCCAGCATCGTACCTTCTCACAGCCTCAGTTTGCTCTTCTATAGCATGGGGACAATGCTAATTTCTATCTCAGAGTTGTTAGGATAGTATTTTAATGTTTTTTTAAGATGGGGGAGGTAATTAGGTTTATTTACTTATTTATTTTTAGAGGAGGTACTGGGGGTTGAACCTAGGACCTTGTACATGTTAAGCATGTGGTCTGCTACTTGAGCAATACCCTCTCCTCTAGAATAGAGCTTTTAGAAGCAGCTTATAAAGAACAGAGCTGTGTATAGTTCTTGTTACCTGAGTTCTTTGGGGCTTTAAGGACCAATGGCTTTTTTTTTCCCAGCTGCTCCCTGTGACCGTTACTCTCTCTCCTTATCCCCCCAGACTCCAGCCCCTAGCAGGACAGCATCTTTTTCTGAGTCCAGGGCTGATGAGGTGGCCCCTGCAAAGAAGGCCAAGCCTGCCATGCCACAAGGTAACGCCTAGTGGCTTCAGGACCCTCTTGTCCCCCTTCCCTTCCTCGACCCCACTGGGCTGGCAGAGGCAGATGGAAAGCGGTTTGGGCTTTGCTATGAGCGTGGGTGTGGTACGTGGGATGGGAATGGGGCATGAGGACATGGTGAATGGAGCCTTCCCCAGGGGGCGCTCCTGGTGCCAAGGATCCTGCCGTGCCTGGGTCACCCCACTCCCCACTGTTTTCTCCTCCACCCCCTTAACTTATGTGAGGTATGTGAGCTGGGCAGCAGGACTGCAGAAGAGACAGAGCCACAGAAATAACCAGGCGGTGGGAGGGCTCAGGACAGCAAAGCAGTCTATTATTCTGGGGCTCTTACCCTTCCTGTGAGCCCACCACAAGGACACACGCTGTCTATCAGCCCATCTGTGCCTGGCCTGCTTCGTCTCTCCCTCCTCTGATTCATTGAGGACGTGATCCCTGCCAGCCGGCCCTTGTAAGCAGCCCTAGATAAGCCACGTCAGTTACCACTGGGCTGATGTGGCCTATCCAGCCTCTTCCTGGGACTGTGTGTGCTTAAGGCATTTTATGAAATAGTGACACTGGCTCCAGGCACTCAGAATTGGAAACCACTGCCCGGCAGGCCCTGCAGTCCCCAAACCGGCAGCTTTGTCCACAGCATAGAATGACAGGTCCACCCCCTCAGCCTAATCATCTCATTGTGCTTCATGGGGACAGAACAGTATTAAGAGGGTGGCACTGGGCCAGCTGTCCCTCCAGAGGGCCTGGGGCTTTGGTGTTCAGCACACCCTCCAAACCTTAGTGCTTTCGCTCCTCTCTCTGCCCCCTGTGGGCCTTCGCCCCTTCTTGCCTCCACTCTGCTGATCGGGGCTCTCTCTTCTGTTGACTTCCTCCTGTCTATTGTGAATAGACAGAGACAGTGAGGGCGGTAGCCCTGCCAGGCTTGTCCATGGGACCCACCCTGTTCCCACCCTCTCCCTTTAAAGCCTCCAGACATCAGCAGGTCACTCAGTTGCCTTGGTCATTTTCTTTGACAGATTCAGTCCCAGGTCCGAGATCCCTGCAAGGTAGGATGCCCTCCGCCCCACCCAGCTCTGCGTGTGGCTTGTTAGCAGGTTACAGTCTTACCGTCTGCTTTGTTTCCTTGTCCCCGGTGGGTTGCAGTGTTGTCTGGTATATTTTCTGTCCCTGCCTCCATGTGGCCTGCCCCTGAGTCCTAGTCTTTGCTCTCCCTCCCTTCCCATGGCTGTCTCTGGCTCCACACACAGGAGGGAGTGGGGAGTGCAGGAGGGGCAAGAGCCAGGCCCCTGGCCTTGGAGAGTGGAGTGGTGCTGAGGAGGGGGTTCATCCTGGGAAAGAGGGAGCCATGGAAACTGAAGGGAAAGTGGCAGAGCCACCGGGCCAGGAGGGGAGCCACTGACCATCCTGATTCTTATCTACGTCCGGTGACGTCTTCGTTGTCTCTGCTAACCTCAGCCTCATCCCTGCCAACTTCATCTCAGAGAGCCCAGTTTGAGGGACAACTTTAGATTTCTCTGGGGTTTGGGTGGAAGACAGGATGGAGAAGGAGAGAGAGAGAGACCTGGGTTGTGCAGTAAATTTGGAGGAGGGACTGGGCTTTGTTGTGTGAGGTCACTGTTTAGCAGGGCTGATTTCTATGCCTGCTCACACAGGCATGCAGAACCCACATTCATCTACTGAGTTGAATAGGTTCATTGAGGTGAATCAGTTCAAAGCATCAGGGCTTCCATTTAACTTTTTGATGTTTTCACCTGTGAAAGTCCCCCCACCCCCAGAAGGGGATGACCTTTGATCCCTTTGCTAAGAGGAGGAAAGGAGTAACTAGGCAAGGTCAAATAGCCCTCTCACCATCTGCCCTTCATCCCAGCGTTTTCTGCCTCTGGAAACGTCTGTTGTTACGCAAAAAGACCAGCCCTGCAGAAAGGACAGGGAGCAGATTCTCTCTGAGAGCTCTTCCACCCTAGGTGGGGCGGGGTGGGCATTAGTCATACTGTCAGTCCTGAGCTCTGCTGAGACGTGGGAGAGGAGGATGGCAGTAAGTCAGGAAGGGAGGACAGACTGGGCCAGGGCGAGCCCTCCCCTCAGTGGAGGAGCCTGGGGGTGGGACTGATCCCAGAGCAGATGTTCTCTCTGGGGTCTACGTGCTGCTGGTGGGCTGAGGCTTGCCACCTTCAGCTTTGCCTTCTCTGTGCTCTGAGCTCTCCAGTTCTGCCCGGTCCATGCTGGAAGTGTGGGTGGGTTCGTAGAAATTCCAGGCCTTGTCCTGATTTCGGTGCCTCTAGGGTAGATAGATGAGTGTACCTGCACACGCACATACGCTGACCCTCAGGGGTGTCCCCCCGCACTAGAGCAGGGAGTAGCGGGCCCTGCTGGCTTGTATCCCTCCTCAATTGCACAGTTGAGCTGCATCTCAGTTAGTATGTAATCCTGGCTCTGATGCTATGTGACCTACAGTCTTCATCATTTGGCACCTCCGAGCTTCAGTTTCCTGGGGCTGGGAAGTGAGGGAACTGGATTAGGTGGCCTCTCTTGTTCTCTGACCTCATATCTCACTGGAACCCAGGTGGGTCCAGGGGACAGTAAATCCCGAGTATTTGCACCATCAGGAGCCTTCAGTCGTGAGAAGCTTGAGGCTGTGATGGAAGAGGCCAGCCTGTGTAGGGATGAGGATCCCCTGTGTGCCTTGGGAAACTGATCTCTTAAGTTCATTTAATCAGACTTTGAACTCGGTTAGCCTGCACTGGAACAGTACGTTAATACCATATGCCCCTGAGTTCTCTGCACTGTTTTTCTTGGGGGAGCTGAAACCCTTCCCTGAGGGCTGCTTTGCTCCTCAAAGGGAGGGGAGAGAGCAGGAGGGCCTGGTGACCTGTCTGCAGGGGGTGAAGGCTGGGAATATACTTTTATCAGCTTATTGCTCCCCTTGCCCCTTTCCTGCCCTCTGGAGAGCCCAGCCAAGAGCACTGCCCTGAGCAGGAAAGAACCCCTGGAAGGAGCCTGGGAGAACTTCGGGCAGAACCTCAGTTAGAGATAAGGCAAACCTCTTCATTGGACCTGCGCTGCCCTAGAATCCTAAGGACTGACCCAGGCTGGCTTATGTCCAGCTTCACAGGCGGTAAGGATTGTCGGGCAGCTGTTTAAAGTCTTGCGGTCACCCAGATTGGGAGAGCTAAACCTTTTTTTCCGGTGACTTCAAAAATAATTGCTCAGACTCTTATTTGCATATAAGCAGAAGGCTGATTTCGCACCTTTCCTGTGAAGTTGAGCAGGTCATGTAGAAGTTCTGTCTGGAAGGGGAGTCCTTTCTCTGTTCACTGCCGAGCTATTTGCCAGCCAAGCAGATCCTCTGAGCTCTTTTTGCTCTCTCTGCCACCTCTTGCCAGAAGAAATTGAGTCGCCTCTTCCCCGGGTTCTCAGAATTCCAACCTCTTGACATTGCTTTGCCATTTTGATGCATCACCTTCCCTGGACTTGGGGCGCAGAGGGGTCTGTCAGGTAGCCCTTGGTGGGTGTGTTCTGGATGCACTCGCTGTCTCTCTGCCCTCCAGGAAAGAGTGCCACCCTCTTCAGCCGCCACACCAAGGCCATTGTGTGGGGCATGCAGACCCGGGCCGTGCAGGGCATGCTGGACTTTGACTATGTCTGTTCCCGGGATGAGCCCTCGGTGGCCGCCATGGTCTACCCTTTCACGTGAGTCACACCAGGGCTGGGGGGCTGGATATGGCCGCCGAGCGGGGTGTCCTCATCTGATCCCCTCCCGCAATAATGCAGAGCTGGGGGAGCTGCTGGATGATCCCCTTTGCCAGGGAAGCATCTGCTTATCCTGGCAGGGGCAGTTGGTATTTCTGGCAGGTCTTTTTCCTGGATGCAAAACTCTTTGAAGGCAGAGATGCTACCTCTCCACCTTCTGGGTGAAGCACCTTCCCCGGGCCTCCTGCTCCAGAGCCCTGGCAGGTGAAGAGTGTCCTGACCCCTCCTCTGCCTTTCTCACAGTGGGGACCACAAGCAGAAGTTTTACTGGGGTCACAAGGAGATCCTGATCCCCGTCTTCAAGAACATGGCTGACGCCATGAAGAAACACCCAGAGGTAGATGTGCTGATCAACTTTGCCTCCCTGCGCTCCGCCTACGACAGCACCATGGAGACCATGAACTACGCACAGGTAGATAGATGACTGGGCCCTGGGGGTGGCCAAGGCAGGGAAGGTCCGTCACTGCCACCTGGGACAAAGGCCTTGGCATTCAGAACTGGCCAGTGATTTGGATGAAAGTGGTTGGAGACTTGATCTTCAGAAGACAGAGTAGTAACTGAGGGTAGGGCTACTTACCTGGACTGACAGAGTGAGTCCAGGGTCATGCGCCCCAACCAGATTCTCTCTGCTGAGACTGGCTTTAAAAACAGAATCAAGGGCAGAGGGGTTGGTAATAGCTCAGTGGTAGAGCTCATGCTTAGCATGCATGAGGTCCTGGGTTCAATACCTCCATTAAAAAAAATAATAATAAATAAATAAAAGTAAAAAAAAAAAAGATTTAAAAACAGAATCCAAAGCCCTTTCTTGTTATAAAATTGTTACATATTATAAATAAAAAATTAAATAGCAATAAATTAAAAATAAAGGCCTCATCTCATTTCTCATGAACATGGTTGCTGACGTTTGAATATGTTCTTGTCCGCACCTTTTTCTGGATTTGAACAAATGGAATAACACTGTATCTATTTTATAACCCATTTCCTTCAGTGACTCTTTCCACATCAGTATTTACTGGCAACATCACTTTTGCTTTTTCCAGTCTTGTGATGAGCGTCTTAGATTAACATTTGCATATATCCTTAGTTATTTCCCCAGCATGAACGTCTAGAAGTCAAACTGCTGCATCAGAATGTGCAGATTTGAAAGACTTTGATTGATCCTGCCCAGGAGCCCTCCCAGAAAAGTTGTGTGGACCTTAACTCCCATCAGTACTTTGAGAAGGACTGTTTCCCTGTACCCTTACCAACACTGAATGTCTGGATTTAAAAAACATATATATTTGACAAAATGATAGACATTCTGTTTAATTTGCATATCTTTGACGAGCTCCTTAAATGAGCTTTAGAAAACATTTATTGGCCATCTGTATTCTCTGACTTGGCCTCCCCTCCTTTTCTTCTGTTGAAGTGTTTGTCTTTTTGTCACTGATTTGTAAGAACCCTTATAGAGTAAGATACTGGCTTTTCTTTTCAAAATTGTTGTCTGATCCCAGACTGGCTTACTGCAATTTATGACTGGAGAACATAAACTAGTTTTGATATTCCAGACGAAGCAAAAAAGAAAGCACACCTGCTAAAAATGGGTGGCCTTTTCAGTCTAGAGCAGAGGTTGGCCACACTATGGTGCAAGGGCCAAACCTAGCTCCCTGCCTGTTGTTGTAAATAAAGTTGTATTGGAACACAGCCGTGCTCATTCATTCACATATTGTCCATGACTGCTCCTCCTGCAAAGGCAAAATGTGGTGGTTGACAGAGACCACGTGACCAACAAAACCCAAAATACTATCTGGGAAAAAGTTTGCCGGCCTCTGGTCTAGAGCCAGAGATGGTTCTTGGATCTTCCCCCCCCCCACCCCCCTCCCCTCAGGCTTTCCCCCTCAGCCCACTCTCTGGTCCGAGTGTGGAAGCAGCTTGTTTCTGGCAAGGCTGTGTCCTGCTGGGGTGTAGAGTCTCCAGGCACAGCAGAGAAAGCCTTAGCTGCTTTGCCATCAGTACCTGGACAGGTGGGAACAGGTGGGGCTGAGTCTTGTGAGACTGGGGGTGGGAGAGCATATAGCAGCTTTGGCTGTAGCAGGTTTTCAGAAACATTTGCTCCTGCTTGGTTACTGACACACTGGTGTTAACCAATGTAGAGCAGTTTCAGGTGCGTCCCTCGGGGAGGTGGTTGGAATGATCAGGACAGGAACAGAGGCCTGTCGGAAGAAGGCAGTGTTATTGTTACTTTGTTCCTAGAGCCTGGAAGGGGGGGAATGGGAGGTGGGTTCTGCAGTAGTTGCTGCTTTGTCCTCCCATCTGAGGGGAGAAGTTAACATGAGGGGACTGTTCTCTTCCTCTAGATCCGGACCATCGCCATCATAGCTGAAGGCATCCCTGAGGCCCTCACAAGGAAGCTGATCAAGAAGGCGGAGCAGAAGGGTGTGACCATCATTGGACCTGCCACCGTGAGCATCCCTTCCGTGAAGCTTTCTCATATAAACTTCCGGGCCCCCATGAAGCTCACTGCTCACTCCTCTGTCTCCCATCTAGGTTGAAAAGATTGGGAGAGAACCTATTGAAAGTCAGGCTGTCCACTTCCAGTAATTTTTTTTAAAGGGCTCTCTCTCTCTAGGCCTTCTTACCTTTGATAGTTTCGAAGGGCTGAGAATATTTTTTTACTGTAAGCGTCTGTCCACCCTCATACAACCATAGCATAGTCTGATTATTCCTTCCACTGTCAGTCAAAGAAAAATCTACCTAGCGGCCTTATTTTTTGACCCAGTGGTTTTCACATAAGAAGGAATTGCCCTGTGAATATTTTTTTGTTGTTACAGGTATTTGTTGCATTCAAAATTTGGCTGAAGCTAAGATTTTTGTACATTCTGTTTGTTTCTTTAGGGGAAGTAATTAGATTTGCTTTTTTTTTCTTAGTGGAGGTACTGGAGATTGAACCTAGGACCTCTTGTGTGCTAAGCATGTGCTCTACCACTGAGCTATACCCCCCACCAGAAGCTAAGATTTTTCAGCTAAGCAAGAGAGATTTCATCTCAGAGGTTGAGGTAGAGGGCGATCTCGGGCAGAGGAGCACACCTGCATTAGACACCTTTACTTGCCCTGTTGGAGCAAAGGAGGTGATTTAATCCTGAGTGTCCACATCTGAGTCTGCAGTAAGCCATGTTTTATAAGTAAGGCTCTTTTCCTCCTGTGTAATGTCTCTTGAGGGGACTCTCTTCTTCCTCAGCAGGAAACCTGATGTGCAGATGCTGGCCGGGGTGGGCTGGGCAGGTAACACCGGGCTCTGTGACTCCCCTGAGCTCTGTGGTCAGTCAGCCCCCCTCCTCCCTGACCACAGTTCTTGCCCGTGCAGGTTGGTGGCATCAAGCCCGGGTGCTTTAAGATCGGGAATACTGGCGGGATGCTGGACAACATCCTGGCCTCCAAGCTGTACCGCCCCGGCAGCGTGGCCTACGTCTCGCGTTCGGGTGGCATGTCCAATGAGCTCAACAACATCATCTCCCGGACCACAGATGGCGTCTATGAGGGCGTGGCCATCGGCGGGGACAGGTGATCACTGGGGGCAGGGTGCTGGGTCCTCTGTCTCTGCTTACCACCTGCCGCTGAGTTCCGGGCACACAGGGGTGTTGCTGAAGTCCATAAAACGGGGCATCTCTTCTCCGTCTCAAGACTGATCCTAGCATAAGATCAGAAAATATACACAGAAAAAAACACAGAAAGGTGTTTTGAGAAGGTGTTTGGGCTTTTGGGGTGTTTTTCTGTTTGTCATCTGAGTTGTGGCCAGAGGGAGGCAGTAGAGTGCAGGGTCCATTCTGCAGGGACCAAAGGGGTTCAAATCCCAGTTTCCCTGTTGGGGGCGGGAGGGGGCAATCTGGGCAGGTTACCAGTCTTCCCTAGACCCCCATCATCCTCATGGAACAAATGGGTAAATTACCAGCACCATCTCATGGAGGGGTTGGAGTAGTGAATGAGGCTAACACAGGGTCTGGTGCTAAGTCCTCAGTGTCACTGCAGTTAATGAGAGTGAAAGGAAAAACTCTATATTTATTATCTTACTCACACTTCTGGCCACCAAATGTGTGGGCCATTGTCCCACACTGAGCAGTTCTCCAATTGTCTGCAGACACCAACAGGGGGTCCTATAGTTCAATTCAATTCTGATACTGTCTTCCCAGAGACAGCATCATCGCGTCAGACCCCACAGGCTCAGGGCTTAGTCCCACAGAACCACCCCCACTTCAGATGCCAATCGCAGGTCTGGGATCTTGGTACTTTTTTTTTTTAATTGAAGTTTAGTTGATTTACAGTGTTGTGTTAGTTTCTGGTGTACAGCATAGTGATTTTATATAGATATATATTCTTTTTTATTATAGGTTATTACAAGACATTGAATGTAGTTCCCTGTGCCTCTGATACTTCTGACCACTGGCTGTAAATCCCATGATCTCCTCCTCGGGTTCAGTAATCTGCTAGAAAGGCTCACAGAACTCAGGAGAAGTTTGTTTACTACCTTACCAGGTTATATAAAAAGATGCAACTCAGGAACAACCAGATAGAAGAGATGCATAGGGCGAGGCATGGTGGATGCCTGGAGCTTCCATGCCTTCTCTGGTGCCCACCATGAGCGGCCTCATTAGAACAAAAGATACTCCTACCACCCCCATGACTCAGGAAATTACAGAGGTTTTAAGAGCCCTGTGTCAGGAACTGCTGTCAAAGACCAAAAATTAGAACAAGAGATGCTCCTAGCACCCTTGACCCTCAGGAAATTACAAGGGTTTTCGGGGCCCTGTGTCAGGAAGTAGGACACACACACACACACACCCCCCTTATCATTTCACAAATAGTGGCCTCATTATTTTTGTTAGTGGGAACAATAATCAGTAGGTCATCAGTTGAGTACTATCTTAGAGCCAATGCCTGGTCCTTCTTAACTTAGAATAATAAACATTAGCCATTACTGTTTATTGTTACCACTGCTGTTAACTCTGACTACTGTTTGGCTCAGAAACGAAAAAATATTGGGAGAGGGAGGCCCCCTGGTCATTCTTCCTGACTCTCCTGGATCATTTCGAGTGCGACACCTGAGTGAGAAAGGACTCTTTCTGTGGTCTTCAGGGGGTCAGCCTAGTCCCTGGGTGCTCGCTGATGAAAAGCTCCGGGTCAGATGAGTCCGGGCAGTGCTGCTGGGTATACTGTCCTCTTGGGATTTAGACACTCTTGAGCGTATCAAAAGTACAGGAAGCTCTCTGAGGATCTTGTAGGTCTATAGCCTACTTGGCCTTGAGCAGTCCTTTTGCAAACTCATGTGACAGGAGAACATTGTTTTAAAAGGTATCAGGCTACACATAGACGTTCCAGCAACAGCCCGCCATCCTGGGACACAGCTTGGCACGTTGTGTTAATTGTCTGTTGCTGGGTAGAGAACAAAATCAACCCAAGACAAAATGGCTTCAAACAATGATAAATATCCTTGTGCTTTCTGTGGGTTAGGATTTAGGGCTCGGTTGGGCAATTCTGGCAGGTGGGGGTGGGCAGGGGTGTCTGTTGAGGTTGCTCCGATGTGGGCGGGGCTGCAGTCAGCTGCGGGCTGACTGAGGCTGGAGGAGGCTCACCCACGTGGCTGGCAGGCGGTTCTCTGTAGGCTTCTGCACAAGGCAACTGGCTTCCCCCAGAGTAAGCGATTCAGGGGAGAGTACGGCCCAGAAGCTATGTTTTTTATAATCTTGCCTTGGAAGTCAAGATCATAGAATCACTCGCACCCCATTTTGTTCATTAGAAGCTCATCATTAAATTCAGCCCAAATTTAGGAGCAGAGGCATGAGTTTCCACCTCATTAAAAGAACTTGGGCACATATTTAAAATCACCCTACACGTGCTCCCCAGGTATCTTTTACTGCTGCGTGAATCCTCTGGGCTTATTCATTCCTCTTCCTTCCCTTCCCTGTGCTCCACTTACAACCTCCTCCTCCCTCATTATTCCTAAGGCCTCTCTGGTTCCTCTCTAGGTATCCACACCCACAGAAAACCCCACAGTGCTCTAAGTACAGGTGTGTTCCCCACACCTGTGCACACACTTCCCCCCACTGAGTCCCCGGATCCCAGCATCCTCCCTGCTCTCACCAGGTACCCCGGCTCCACGTTTATGGATCACGTGTTACGTTACCAGGACACTCCAGGAGTCAAAATGATTGTGGTCCTCGGAGAGGTGAGTAGTTTTGTTTTTTTTTTTTTTTAATTTTTTTTTCTGATTATTAAAGTAAGGATGATTTCAGTTTTTTAAACATTCATGGATTTTGGTTACATATAACTGAAAGTGACAGTCCTTGGTAATCCCACTCACTGGACTCCGGGGCTTAGAGATTGTCACTGTTAACACCACCGTGTTCCTAAGAGGAGTTCTTGCCTCTCGGTGGCACAAGACATTTTAGTGACAGTAGAGAGGAAGCTTTCACTGGCTGGTCCTAGTCTCTCCCTGCTGGGCAGTGGAAAGTTGGAGTCAAAGTGCATCCATTGCTTGTGCCTCTGATCGGGTCTGGTCCTAAGTTGTTTAATACTCTTAGATCAGGAAGGGGAGTCCCAGGAACTCTGAGTATACCTACTGTCCCTTTATAATTCTTCCTTGCTTCCAGCCTCAGTCATCCATGCTGTTATTGGCCAAAGCCCACATCCCCTTATTTTCTAGCCAAGTTGTAACTCGGGACACGACGGCTCTGGTCGCCACCTAATTTGAGACAGATTTTCCTGCCACATTGCTGGTCTTAGAGCAATTCAGGGTGAGTTCCACTGACTTGTGGGCTTTTTCTTGTCCCCTGTTCCTTGGCAGATAGGGGGCACTGAGGAATATAAGATCTGCCGAGGAGTCAAGGAGGGCTGCATCACCAAGCCCGTGGTCTGCTGGTGCATCGGGACCTGTGCCACCATGTTCTCCTCCGAGGTATAGCAGGGGCAGAGCCCTCCTGGGCGGGGAGGCCACGAGGGGGCGTTTGCTGTGAACTGTGTGGTCATCTTCTCAAGCAGCTGGGTCCTTCCATAAACGTTTATTACTTGCTTGGTTACTACAAGGTCCAGTTGGGACCTTGCTGTCTAGGCGCTTAAATCCAGTTGGAAGAGACAAACTTGTCCCCAGATTAAGGCCAGAACAATGCTCCGAGTCCCTCCTAGAGTAGGGAGCAGCTTAGTGCCTGGAGGAGCTGCGATGGCTTCATGGAAAGGATGAACTCGTTAAGGGATGAGGAGTTTGCCGAGCAAGAGGGAGGCAGAGGAGAGAGAGGACACACCTCAGGCTCAGCCGAAGAGGGATGGGCGAGAAGTTCTGTTCAGGAAGAGGCTGTGGGAGAAAACCTCTGGATGTGTAAACAGGATGTAATGCCTGAGAAGGTGCCTGGGGGCCTAGTAAGTGCAGCATATAATGGGTGTTAGGAACACTATTTGAGCTCTGTCTCCTGCTGGCTGTGAGCCAGACCTCAGCCCCTGTCCTCCAGCTTAGAGCATCCTCTGTCTTGAAGGTGGCCCCCCCAGCTGATCAGGCTCTGACTGTCAGCCCTTGTCCCTGGGCTACGTACATATGAAAGGAACTTGGCCCTCAAGGCTTCCTGCAACAATGATAATTCCTACGCTCAATTGAAGAACCCTCAGTTCTTCCTCCCAGTCGGCCTGCCCCTGTTCTTTCCCCCTGGGGTTGCTTGCCTTTCCCCTTTGGATTCCTACCGTCCTCAAAGTGGCAATATTTGCCCAGTCATAAAAGGCACCTCTCCTTTGAGCCAGCACTTCCATTTCTCCAGATTTACTCTGGGGGCGCACATGTAAAAATATTCTTAAGTATGTGTATGAGGATTCTGGCTGCGATGTTGAAATGGCAAACAATGGAAACACCCCAGTGCTGGTCTGGAGGGGACCGTGTCCTCGTGTCACATAATGGAACACCGGGCAGGTGGGAGAAGAACAAGGTGGATCTTGAGATGTTGGTATAGAGAGTTTGTGTTGCGTTAAATCTAAGAAGCGACAGGGTACAGTGCGTGCGTATCATGAAATTCATTTTGTGTAATTATGAACTCTGTATTTCTTTTCCAAGTAACTAAAAGGGGAAGGGGCGGGTCTCAGTATCCTGTCTGTCCTTCACGGATGCAGTGCACTTTCACAGGCTTTCAAGCCAGCTCTTGATGTATCTGTGTGACCAGGGCAGGTCACTGAGGCTCTTCCTCTCCATTCCTCAGTTTCCCGAGCTATAAAATGGGGATGATTCAGGGTTGTTATGTGGCTACCCTAAGAAAGTAATTGCAGGGGGGAGGGTATAGCTCAGTGGTAGAGCGCATGCTTAACATTCACAAGGTCCTGGGTTCAATCCCCAGTACCTTTATTTAAAAAAGAATGAAAGTAATTATAAAGGTCTGGCACATACAGGTCTTAGCAGCTGTCCATTTCTATCCTCCAGCACACATGTTCCATGTGTTCTTCCTGACTCTCTTCATGACTGCTCTGTCCTCCACCTCAACAGCCAAAAATAATGCCTCCCCTGCCCCTCCCCTTCCAGTATTTCTCTTAACCAGCTTTGCATTACTAGCCTCCTACCCCTCACCCCTCACCCCCACTCTGCCAAGGACACCTCCAAGAGGGCAAGGACCCTGCTCTTCTGTTTCTGGCTGGCACTCATCATCATCCCGTGGGTAGAGTAGATCTTCAAGGTGTGTTTTATTTTTGCTTTTTGATTCATTTTTTAAAAATTTTCTTCATGAAGTTTCAAGGATGGTTGAATGTAGAATAGTGCCCTGCCAGCCCAGCTAGTAAGTGCTTTTTTTTTAATGGAGGTACGGAGAATTGAACCTGGGACCTTGTGCATGCCAAGCATGTGCTCTACCACTAAACTATATGCCCTTACCCCTAGTGTTTACTGAGGGCTTGAACAGGTCACATGATCCTGCAGAGCTTTCTGCCCTGCAGAGGTCACACAGGCACACAACACAATGCTGGCAAGCTGAGACAGTGCCTCAGGAAAACTGAATGGAGAACCAGGGAACGGAGGTAGAGACAAGGGGACATTGGTAAGGTGGCATTTTTTGGAAATGTTTTGTTCCACAAAACACTGGTCCTGTAGTGATGGTCCTCAAAGCCAAACCAAACCAAACCAAAAACAAACAGGAAAAGGGAAGCTTCTCTAAATTATGAACATGCAGTATCATCTATCTCCCTTTTAAAAGCTTTGGTTTTAGCTTTGCAAAATCTGAGTTGAAGAAACTTGCTTAACTTCCTTGAACCCAGTGTTTTCTAAGTTTATTTGAATGGAGAATCTCCTCTCCTTCCCACCCAGCCGCCCATGCAGATCAAGTCCTGTAAAGAATGCACCAGGAAGGGGGTGGGGGTATCGCTCAGTGGTAGAGTGCGTGCTCAGCATGCATGGCAGTGCGGGCTCAATCCCTAGTACCCCCATTCCTGACCACTCCACACCCCAGGCCCCCCTCATTGTACATCGTGGTCAAGAGCATAGTGAGAGGCCAGCTTGCCTGGGTTCGGATGCTACCACATACTCCCTGTGTGACCTTGGCAAGTTACTTTACCCCTTCGGGCTTCCATTTCCTTTTTTAGAGGAAATAGTTGTAGCTACTGAATGACTACATTTGTAAGGCTCTTTGAAAAGTGCCTGGAGGTAGTGTTCTTTAAACAGGTGAGATACTATCATTACACCCCACACCTACCCTAATCTGGGTTTTGTACCATGTTTCATTAGGTTAATTCCTTTTCCTTGTTGCTTGATCAAAGACATAGTTACCACTTAGCTCTTCTGATTGGTTTTCTCTTCCGTCTCACTCACTTCCCATAACCAGTCACCCCACTGCCGCATATTCCACTGGATTTATAGTTTACGTCAGTGAGTGCTCAGGTAGAAGGGGGCAGTGGGTAACTGGCTCCCCCTGATTGTTGCTATGGGGGAATAGAGGCCTCATGGTGCAAAGTCTGACTTTTGGGAAAGTTTTTTTATTTAAAAAAACTTAAAAAAAATTTTTAATGGAGGTACTAGACACTGAACCCAGGACCTCACACATGCTTAAGCACACACTTTACCACTGAGCTATACCCCCACCCCCGCAAAATCTGACTTTTTTTTTTACATTTTTATTGATTCATAATCATTTTACAGTGTTGTGAAATCTGACTTTTTAAAAGAAGCTGGCAATTTGATTTTCATATGCAGTCTTCGGGTTTTTTGTTTTGTTTTTTAGGAAGAGTATGTGTAGGACAGTCAGGTCATGCCTGTGAGCTTAGCGTAGCTAAGGTTGGCAGTTTGTAACTTCACTTCTCACCATTGCTCAAGACTAACTGCCGTTCCCCGTCCATCCATCTGTTCCCTCCACGCCCCGACAGCTGCTCATAGGAAGCCAAACGAAGGTATTGGTGGAGTTAGGTGCCAGGCTTTGTATCCCAGCTCCAGTGTGCCCACTGTGTGACCTCAACTAGTAAGCTTCTGAGCTGCTCAGGCCTCAGGTTCTCACCTGTAGGCGAGAGTCAGCGATCGTACCTAGTGAGCCTTCTTGAGGCTTGAAGTGATTCACTTAGAGCGCTGAGTGGGGTCCAGCCTGTGATCAGCACTGACACTCCCAGGAGCCTCTGCTACCTTTCTTGGAGGATTCACAAGTCCGGTAAAGCCGCTCTCCTTTGCCTTCCAGGTGCAGTTTGGCCACGCTGGAGCTTGTGCCAACCAGGCTTCTGAAACCGCAGTAGCCAAGAACCAGGCTTTGAAGGAGGCGGGAGTGTTTGTGCCTCGGAGCTTTGATGAGCTGGGAGAAATCATCCAGTAAGTGGACCTTGCAGAGGATTCCACCTCCCTGGCCCTTCTCAAACTCCTCCTGAGGACAGCCGCCTCTCTGAAATACAAGTGTCCAATATTCTTGGTCCCTCTCAGAGGTCTAATGCAGCTCTACAGATGGTCCAAAATTCTTTCTTTCTTTTTGGCTTGTGTTTTGTTTTCTAGAAGCAGCAATTATAGGCCGTTCAGACTGGTGTTAAAACGTTCCGTTTCAGAGCCTACCTAACTGGCTGGCCATAAATGAGAGATGGGCATGGAAATGTTGAGGAAGTGTCACCTCTGATTGATGGAGTTACTGGATAACCTGCTGTGTCTTCCCAGTCCTCCTCTCTGGCCTTTCTTGGCCTCCACATGCAGTTTTTGCTAAAGCCCTATTCAGAGAAGAGAAGGGGCAGATCTTGGCCAGAACCTGTTTCCATTTAATGCTCAGGAATCCAACTGGTCAGACAGAGTAAGCAGCTGACAGGAGGGGATACGGAGCTGGAAAACCTAAAGTTTGGGGTTTAGGTGGAGGAGCATTCTTGGGATGGCTTAGAAGAGCCCAGAAGAATGAAATCCACACGGATGCCTTTTCTCTTCCCCCTTTCCTGCCTCCCAGGTCTGTGTACGAGGACCTGGTGGCCAGAGGAGTCATCGTACCTGCCCAGGAGGTGCCGCCCCCGACGGTGCCCATGGACTACTCTTGGGCCAGGGTAGGTGCTGCATGTGTCCCTGACCACGTGGGCAAGGGAGACTTAGGCCCTTAGGTGGGGTGGGTGTGAGTTGATGTGGCTCAAAGCCCTGGATACCAGGCCTGCCCTACAAGTTAGAGCGACCACTTGCTCACTGCTCTGGGCTGCAAACCACACCCCCTGGGGGCTTCTCTGAGGGCATCTGGAGCAACTGTGATGATTGACTCTTGGATTCCAGCTCTTGTGCTGGAGCTTGTGGGGCGCCCCCTTCTGACCAATGGGTAAGACAAATGCAGGGCCCGGGGGAGGGCAAGGGGCAGTGTGTATCTCCTGCAGCTGTGTGGCCTGACCTGGAAACGGAGGCTGGGACAGACAATGTCCCTTAGAGCTCTTTGCACCTGCTGAGGGATTTCAGGGCAGAAAGTCCACTCTGCCTACTTGTCTAAGGGAGGAACAGAACAGAGATGAAGAGCTAATTTTCTTAGTATAAAAGAACTCATAGAAATCAATTTTTAAAAGACCAGTAACCCATTAGAAAAATGGGTAGGAGATAATGCTTTCAACATGAAGACATGTCAACTTCACTCATTATAAAAGAAACCAAAGTAAAAGCTGTGATACCAATTTTCCCCTACAGGTCAGCAAAGACAAAAAAATTCTCTGAGGGGTTGTTTGGGTGTGAGGAGGCTGTTGCGTTCATTCACTGTTGGTGGGAGTGGCGTTGGCACAACCTTTCTGACAGGCAGTTGGGTAACGTTAGTCACATTTAACAGGGCTCATACTTCATAGCCCAGCAATTCCACGTCTGGAAAGCTACATCAAAAGAATTGTTTGCATATACACATAAACACGTTCAAGAATATTCTTCTGGTTGATGGTCATCAGTGGAGGAATGGCTAACTTGTAGGATTGTCATGTGAGGGGGTGCTGTGCAGCAATTAGAAAGAATGAAGTAAAAAAAAAAGAGTGAAGAAGGTCTGTGTATGAGCTGACACGTATGGAGCTCAAGTTTGTTGAGTAAACAGCACATCATAGGACAGTGTTTCTATTGTGACCATGAAAGGTGTAGGCATGCAAAACACCATTGTATAGTCTCCATGTGTGTATGTATGTGTGTAAATAAAAATGGGGAAAGAAAGTTCCGGAAAGATGTCCACTAAACCAACCAACTGGAAGGCAGAAAACCATGATGAGGTGGAGGTCAAAGGCAACATAACTTAATCTGTTCTATTTTGGATTTGTAACAAGGAGAGTGTATTCATGTCATTTCTGTCATTAACACATAACTTAAAAGCATTTCTTAAAATTCAGAAGGGATGATTGAAGAACTGGGCTTGAACAGAGTTAGCTGATGATACCCTGCTGTGCCTCAACTCTGGAAACGAAAGATGCAGGAGCTCCATCCCCTCCACTGGGGAAGGGACGTGTTGAGGGGATCCTCCAGTCCCCCAGCCATGAGCCTCATTACATTCTGGTGGGAGACTGGCAGCTGTGTGTGGAGTATTTAAAATTTTCCCTTTGGATGCATTCTTCCATTTCTTAGCCAGGTGACCCGGGCTGGCTACTGAGCCTTGTTTTCCGCTGCTATAACACAAGGGACTGGTACTTTGTCGTGAGGTCGTGAGGTTGTGAGGTTAAAGTGAACCAGTGATGCCAGCAGGCTTAGTGCTCTGCCTGGCCCCGCAGACGCTCCGTTAAGACCAGAAATAGTGCTGACGCTGAGTAGGTACCGTGGCACAGAGCTCCTGCTTTCTACAGCTGAAATAATCTAATAAAACGGCTTCTGCACTTCTTTCTTGGGAGAACTTTGTCTGAGAGCTGTTGCTTGATGGCCAGAATTAAAGACATTCCTGGCACACTGGTTCTGAGCACAGAGAGAAGGGCAGCCCTGAGAAAATCTCTGGTCACCATAGCCCTGCTTGCCTCTGCCCCCATCTCTGCTCAGGAGCTGGGCTTGATCCGCAAACCTGCCTCTTTCATGACCAGCATCTGCGATGAGCGAGGCCAGGAGCTCATCTACGCCGGCATGCCCATCACAGAGGTCTTCAAGGAGGAGATGGGCATCGGCGGGGTCCTCGGCCTCCTCTGGTTCCAGAAAAGGTGAGGCATGGAGGGCAGAAGGTGGTAGGGCCCTGTGACTTAGTTAATTTTCCTCTGTCAAGGGAGCAGAGGTGGGCAGCCTTGGGGAACATGTCCAGGGCCAGTCTTGATGGCCACAGATCAATTGAAGGGCCAGAGGAAAGAGGTACAGGCTGTTTTTAAGTCTTCAAAGGACAGAAAGGCCAGTCTTAACCAACAGAAGCAGATGACCTCATCGGGGATCTGGGATCAGCCCCTTTCCCTTGGGAACTTTTAAAGAAATGGGCCAGAGTGAATGCAGCCTCCTGAGAGAAAGGTAGAGGTTAGCACGGGAAGTCTGGACGTGTCTGGTAGATTACAGAGCACAGGCCTGGTGGAGTTGCTAAACAGGCAGAGTTAAGCAATCTCGTATTGTATCCTCTGCAAAATCTGTGTCCCATCAGCCTGCATGTGAAGAAAAGTTGGTTTTCTCTGCAATTCCCAAGCTTAGCTCTCCCCTGGGATTGACATCAGGACAAGGAGACCGATGAGTTCACAGTCACAGTCACAGAGCCCTGGTTTGGAGTGGCCCTGGGCAGAAAGCCAGGTCAAAGTCTTGGTTTATGTCATGCCCTAACCGGGAGACAGATGGGTCTTGGTCCTGCTTTGGGCCCTTCCTCGGAGAAGTTCACAGGTTGTAACTTCCTACCCGAGCAGGTCTCACTGTGTCTGCTCTGGCATCCCCAGCTCCAGACTTTGTGCTTAATCATCCGCTGGGAGGTTAATGGCTGTGCATGTGAAAGGGACACGGATCTCACCTCCTCTCTGTCTGGCACCTGGAGGGTCGTATCCCCAGATAAGGTCACATCCTGTTGCAGCAACTTGCGCTAAAAACTGCCACCTAAAGAAGCAATTTCAGACCCTGGTTGCTATCTCAACTTTATAAGCAGCATTTGACACCGGCAACACCCAGAGCAGCTCAGGAATCAGAAGGTTCTGCCCTCAAGATGTAAGACAGTATTAGACTTAGATTAGGAGGTTGCTCTTCTGGAGTCCGAGTGACTTGTTCAAGGAGATGGGAGACAGACGGACCATGGCCTTGTGGATGTATCTCCTGTTCAGCAGCTCGCCTTTGTTCCAAGTCTCCTGTCCCTGCCCTTTACTCGCCCTCCTCCAGGTTGCCCAAGTACTCCTGCCAGTTCATTGAGATGTGCCTGATGGTGACGGCTGATCATGGGCCAGCCGTCTCTGGGGCTCACAACACCATCATCTGTGCTCGGGCCGGGAAGGACCTGGTTTCCAGCCTCACCTCGGGGCTGCTCACCATTGTGAGTACTGCCTTCCTGGGAGGCGAACAGTAGGGACACTGGGCTTTGGCATCACGCAGCTAGGCTACAGCAGGGTCTTCAGAGGGGCTGTCGAATGTGGGACCCATGCTGGGGGCTGTTCGGGGCATGCCAGATTGGTCCGCAAAGCTGAAGGAGACACCTGCAGCTCTGGGTGACATGGGCTTGCTTCTTCTTTAGGGGGACCGGTTTGGGGGCGCCCTGGATGCAGCAGCTAAGATGTTCAGCAAGGCCTTTGACAGCGGCATCATCCCCATGGAGTTTGTGAACAAGATGAAGAAGGAAGGAAAACTGATCATGGGCATTGGCCACCGAGTGAAATCGGTGAGTCGTCGCTCTGCTTCAGGGCACTGGGTCTCCAGGGTGGATGGGGTGCCAGGGTGGCTGTTTTTCCCATTATAAGACAGATTGCCCTTAAAAATTTTTTATCATGTTCAGTTGTGTGAAAATATGATGAGCTGGAAACTTGGTCACTTTAGCTTCCCAAGTGAATCTTACAGGAGAAAGGACCAAGGTCAGCGTTAACGGGATGGATCAATCACCGTAGCTTAGATAATGCTGCAGGCGGTGGTAACAAAACTCCAAAAATCTTAGTGGGTCAGAGCAGCAGAGGTTTGCTGCTTACTCACCCTCCGTCCACTGGGGTCTGGCTGTGCTCTGTCCTCTGTCCTCTGTCCTCTGCGCTGGAGGAGCAGCCCCTTTCGGGGAGGTGCTGGTCTTGTCAGAAGGAAAATAGCCATCACAGAACCACAAGAAAGCTCTCAAAGCTTCTGCTTGGAAGTTGCCCAGCTCCTGTTCTCACTCCCATTTCATTAGCCAAAGCGAGCCACATGGTTAAGCCTGACCCCACTGGGGCAGGATGAGTGATAAAGTCAGAGGCCAAGGTACATATTCTAAGCGGTTAATAGAGTCCCCCACAGGGCAGGTAGTCCCCTGTGTGTCCTGGTAGTGAGTTGTGTTTAGAAATCAAAGGGAACGAGAGAAGAGGTAGTGACAGCTGCTCCAGGACCTTCAGGGACAGCTCAGGCCCTTGACTCCGCAGCTCCAGGAACCACATTCACTCTACTGGTCTAGGCGGGGTGTATGACTCACATTAAAACAAGAGGGTTATGTGTGCGATCTAGGCATCGCAATGCTGGGTCAGCTCAGGGTAGATCCAGAGGCGGCTTGATGGCAAGGACTGAACCAGGGACAGCGTTCGTTCTTAGGGACATTCCATCTGGGCTTCGCAGAACCTGGCCCAGCCACCCCCAGCTCCCAGGCCGCCAGTGCACGTGCAGCACAGGGCGTCTTTCCGAGCTAGGTCAGGGCTGCGCTGCCACACCTGGTCTTTGGGTGCCTTCCTCCCTGGAGTTCATACTGACCTCGTATGTCTTGGCCAAGGGGTGTTGCGACTTGGTGGGCGCCTAAACCATCTCACTCCCCTGCTGACAAATGATCACTTAGTGTGGGTCCCTAAACAGAAGGTTCATCTCTACTCATTGCAGGTCCAGAGGTTTACCAGGAATTTCAGGAGTGCTTTGCTGCCCCACTGCCAATATGTGCTTGCTAAGTTAAAAACTAAGAACCTTGTAGAACTTGCTTACAGCTTTACTAGGCCACTGAGCTGGTGGGCAGCAGGGCTAGTGGCCGGAACCTCAGGCTTCCTGTTGGAGAGTGGAGCCCCAGTCCCCTGCTGCTTAGGACTGTAGGACCCTTGGCTAACTGACCTAACATCTCTGTGTCTTGGGTGGTTTTGAGGCTGGAATAAGATATGGGAGGACTTCAGAAACCTTACACCCTACAGCAGTGTCGTAATCTGTGCTACACGGACAGCAGTGTTAGCGTGGGTTCCTCTGTAACTTTGGGTCACATCCTAGATAAACAACCCGGACATGCGAGTGCAGATCCTCAAAGATTACGTCAGACAGCACTTCCCTGCTACCCCCCTGCTCGACTACGCTCTGGAGGTAGAGAAGATTACCACCTCAAAGGTAAAAAAGAAAATGTCCTTAATCCCTGAATCAGAGCTTTGGGTGAATTTCTTGGGGGAAGTGAGAGTCAGGTTACATTTTGACTGTGTAGCTAAAATCAAACCTGGTTTTCTGGAAAATGTTGTTTCAGTTGCTTTAAGTTCAACTGACATATACTAAGTGTTAACGTGGGGCTGGGTCCTTTGCTAGACTAGACGCTGGGAATTAAGTAAGACATAGGCTCTCCTAAACAGCGGGGATATTTTGGTGGGAGGTTGTAAATGGTGGTCAGGAGTTCACAGTAATAGTTGTAGTAGTAACAGTGGAAAATTACGAGAGAAAAAAAATGAGTAATAATGATAAATGCTTTGAATTTTTTGCCTTCCCAGAAACCGAATCTTATCCTGAATGTAGACGGTTTAATTGGAGTTGCGTTTGTAGACATGCTCAGAAACTGCGGGTCCTTTACTCGGTGAGCTTGCAGTGGTTTTCCTCTTCCTAACATTTGCTGATTCTTCTTTCTGTTTCCTCCCAACTCTAAAAGCAATACATGCTCCTTTTAGAGGATTTAGAAAATGTGGAGAAGTATAGAGAAGAAAACAAGAATGGCCTCTCCTCCTACCAACCAGAACACCTCTCTTTTCTACTTTGAATCCAGAGAGAGCCGGCTCCTCATTCCTGGGCAGAAAACTGTACTGTCTGTGGGAGGAGGGCAGTCATGTGAGCCATTTAAAAACTACAAGTGAATTGTGTGTTGCAGGGAGGAAGCTGATGAATATATTGACATTGGAGCCCTCAATGGCATCTTTGTGCTGGGAAGGAGTATGGGCTTCATTGGTGAGTTGGTAGTAAGGGGTCTTTGTTTTTTGGGTTTTCGTTTTGTTTTATTTTATCCCACAGTTCAGATATACCAGCTACCTACGTGGCCAGTTTCTATCAAAGAGATGTCACGTTGTCTTAATCATTGTTCCTAATCCTTCCTCTCATACTTCAACTTCCCCTTTATTTTTATTTGTTCCTTTGTTCTTGGAAATGAGTTTGATTGCTAGCCTCGGAGAACAGAATGAAGTCAAGCAGTTGCTGTTTTACCAAGGCTGGCATCTACTTGTGGGCTGGAGCTGGGTGTACTTCCTCCTTTCTTTTTGTATTAGTAGGATTTCCCTTCCTTATCTCCTCCCCTGACCAAAACTTAACAAACTCACCAACTCTTAACAAAAAGGTGCATTTGCTGCATTTTAGGCCACTATCTCGATCAGAAGAGGCTGAAGCAGGGGCTGTATCGTCACCCATGGGATGATATTTCATATGTTCTCCCGGAACACATGAGCATGTAATGGAGCCAGGAACCCTATCACAGTACGGAGAAGATGAGAACTCCTCCCCCGGGGAGACAGCCGCAGACAGCTGGCACTGGAGCTTCCTTAAAGGATGGAATGTAAACAGGCACCGAAAACTAACACCCACAGGCTAACACCGTTCAGTCTACGCAAAGAAGCTTAATATTTTTTTTTATAAGCATAGAAGTAAGAACCCAGCCAATACATGGGACGTTTGCTCTGCTACCCACTGTATTTATTATATGGAAGCATCTAAGTGCAGTCCAAAGTGTTTTTCCTCCTTGTAGGGCTTTATGATACTGCTTTTTTCCATTAGTTAAAAAAAAAAATGTTTTTCCCTGGATGACACTTTTAAGACTTCAAGATACTTTCCATTTAAAGGACCCTAATATTTTGTTTTTCCATTTCCCTTTTCTTCCTCATATAACCCGAAGAGCATTGTATTAATCTGATTTTTTTTTAGGATCTTTTTGTATATTGTGTGTTGAGTTTGTTTGGTATCCCCCGGAAATGTTCCATGTTGCAGACGATGGGACCATCTACATCCTTACCATTGTTACAAAATATGTGGAGCAGTAATTTAACATGTAAAGTTGTAACATACATATGTTTAAAATGGAAGTGCAAAGCAAAAAGCTGTGAAATGTCTTGTGTGTTACGGTCTCTATTTATGTAGCTGACTTGTCTGTTTATTACTGACTCCTTTCCAGCCAGTTGGCATCTGTAATCCAGAAAGGTTCTGGGCAGCTGCCACCTCAGTTGCTCCTCTGTGTTATCATAGTTTGGTTTAAATAAACTATATAGTAACAATGAAGACATACTGCTGTCTCATGTCATCCATATCCTTTTATCTGCATCCCTTTGAACTATATTTTCTAATAGTTTTACTACATGTGGTTTTTTAAATGTTCATCCACCTCGTAAAAAAACACTATCTTCAAAAAATAAAAACAAAACAAAACAAAACCCACTATCTTCTGCCCTAAATCTGCACTTGCCGTATCTCAGTGAATGGGAACCAAAGCTTTACCTTGATACTCAAATCAAAAGCCCAGGAGGCATCCTTTTCTTCACTTCTCTATCTGGTTGCAAGTCCTGTGGATTTATCCTCTAATTTTAGCCCTCTGATCTATCCATACCTGGCATGCCAACTTAGTGCCCCTAGTTCCACTTTTGTCCCCTTAACAGTCCATTCTCCATGTAGCCGCCAGCGGTATTTTAAAACAGACATCTAATTGAGTCACTCCTTTGCTTAAAACCCCAAACTAGTTTTTATTCATCTTTTTACCAAGTATGTGTGTACAGTAACTATGGACCAAACACGGTAAAACACTTGACAAGCATCTTATTTCTCACAGCGATCTTCCAATGTAGAGAGTATCCCGTTTTTAGGAGATAAATCAGTTCAGAGATAGTAAGTAATTTGTTCACCCTCATCCTCTTAGCTGGGGCTCAGTCTCTCTTTTTCAAGTTTTACTCCAAAGCCATTCTAAACATTTAAATAAAACTCCAGTGTTGCCACCGAAGACACTAACCATGGGTGATGGTCTAAGGTGGTTTTTATTTTAGAAAACGACCAGGAAGAGCATGCTACTCTCTAAGGGAGAGGAAACAGTGAACCTCCCGCAGGCATGCGGATGGCTGGCCTCCGGGGGAGGTGATCATAACTGGGGAGCGGTAAGGTTGAATCTTACCAAAGACCAGCGCATTAGGGCGGGCGCGGGGCAGCGCGTGCGCAGATCCAGCGGCCGGCCAGCCGGCCGGCTCCGCCCGGAGCTCACTATTTATTCCCAGAATCCCTCTGTGTCGCACCCGAACCGCCAGACCGTTCCGAGACTGCGGAGTCGAGCGCGGCGGCGTCAAGATGGCGGCAGCGGCAGTGGCGGCGGCGGCGGCGGCGGCTGCTGCTGCGTCTCTTCAGGTGCTGGAGATGGAGAGCATGGAGACGGCCGCCGCCGGCTCAGCTGGGCTGGCCGCCGAAGTCAGAGGCAGTGGCACGGTGGACTTCGGGCATGGGCCGGGCTTGTCTGCAATGGAGGCGAGCGGCGGCGATCCGGGCCCGGAGGCCGAGGATTTCGAATGTAGTTCTCACTGCTCGGAGCTGTCGTGGCGGCAGAACGAGCAACGGCGCCAGGGCCTCTTCTGCGACATTACCTTGTGCTTCGGCGGTGCGGGAGGCCGCGAGTTCCGGGCCCACCGCTCGGTACTGGCGGCCGCCACCGAGTACTTTACGCCCCTGCTCTCGGGCCAGTTCTCCGAGTCCCGCTCGGGCCGGGTGGAGATGCGCAAGTGGAGCTCCGAGCCCGGGCCCGAACCCGACACGGTGGAAGCCGTTATCGAATACATGTACACCGGGCGCATCCGCGTCAGCACGGGCAGTGTGCACGAAGTGCTGGAGTTGGCCGACAGGTAGGCGGCGGAGGCGGAATGCGGAGGGCGGGGAGGTTAAGATGCTCGCCGAACGCCGGCCGCGTACAGGGAGGCCGCGGAAGGCGGAGAGGGCAGTGCCCCGGGGGAGGGGGGGGGATCAAGTAGCCCTGACGAAGTGCATTCGTTTGATATTTATTGAGCGCCTGCTGTGTGCTGTGGGGAGATCACTGCTCTGGGCACTGAGGAGGCAGCCAGCCAGCCCGTCTAGGTCACCCTGCTCTTAAGAAGGGAGTTCAGATTCCAGGTGGAGGGACAAAGGCAATGAAAAAGTCTGCATGTAATAAATGCTGTGTTGACATTAAAAAGATGAAAGGATAGTGATTGCTTAGAGGAAAGACCTTTATGAGGAGGTGACATTTAAACCGATCTCCAAACAGCCAAGGAGAACTGGCCATGCAAAGATGGGGAATGACCATTCCTGGCAACTAGCGCAGAGGCCTTCAGGCAGGATGCTGTTTGGCTTAGAGAAGAACTGAAAAAGGAAAATTTAGTGAACCTGGATCTAGTAGGTGAAGGGGAGAAGAGTGTGTGAAATGCGTTGGAAAAAGGAGTTTGGATTTTAGTGGATGATGGGAAGCCGGGTAAAGAAATGATCTGATTTAAATATTTTAAAAGATGATTCTGCTACTGTGGAAGATGGATTGTAGAGAGCAGGGGTGGATGCTTCCGGGACTGGTTAGGAGGCAGGTGAATGCACTTTGGAAATGGGGAGGAGTCTGTTTAGGCAGTATTAAGTTACAGATTCGTTTTTTGAACAAATACTTATTAAATGCCTGTTACACATCAGATCAGACACTGGGTTCTGAGCTGCGGGGGATTCAGCAGTGGACAAAATAGACAAAAGTCCCTTTCCTCATGTGCTTGCATTGGTGGATGGACAATAAATAAGTCAAGTAGTGTGTTGGATATGATGGCATTAGCTGAAAAATAAAGCATGGTAGGATATACAGAAAATGGGTGTAGAGGAGCTGTTCTTTTTTAATTGGATGGATAGAGAAAACCTCTTGAGGAAGAAGATATTTTGCAAAGAACCGAAGGAGGTGAGGTAAAGGGTGTTTCCTTTAGGGGACACAGGTGCAAAGACTGTGAGGTGGAGCTGGTCTGGATATTAGAGGATAGCAGGAGGCCAGTGTGGTTGGATCAAAGGATGCAGGGTAAGAGGAGTCGGAGAGACCTGGGGATGGATCAGGATCCCACAGGGCCTTGTCGGCCTGTGGAAGGACTTGAGCTCTAACTCTGAATGAGATGGGAAAGTTTAGGGTAGAGGAATGATGCAGTCTGATTTGGAGAATTCTGTGTTGAGAAAAAGGATGGCTGGTGAGGAAGGGGCTGCAAGGGCAGAAGCAGAGACTAGTTCAGGACATTGCTGCAGTGGTGGTGGAGGCTTGGATTGAGGCGAGAGACGTAAAAGTGATGGCAAAGTGCATCAATTTTAGATCTGTTTTGAAGGTAGAGGAGACGGATTTGCTGATGGATTTGATGTGGGGTGTGAGAGAAAAGACTGCCAGTTTTTTGACCCAAGCAGTTGGAAAGATGGAGTTGTTCATTGTTCATTAAGATATAGAAGACTGCAGGAAAGCATTTGAGAGGAGGATCAGGAGTTTGGTTTTTTGGTCCAGGAGATATCTTAGTAGGCAGTTGGACAGAACAGCATGGGGAGCTAGAGACTGGAAGGAAATTAGCAGATTAGGTGGTAATTAAAGCCATGGGACTGGATGAAATTACTTAGGAAAAGAGTGTAGATAGAAAAGAGAAGGAGCAGGACTGAGCCCTGGGGTTCTCCAGAATGTTACAGAGGAACCAGCAGAGGAGACTGATCCCATGGAAGCCTAGAAAAAGCGTCAAGGAGAGAGGAGCCAGTCGTGTCAACTCTGTCATCCATAAGTGATCAATGGATTCAGTGATAATAGAGGTTCTTGATGGCATTGACAAGAGCCATTTAGGTCTGGCTGTAAAGAGCATCAGAAAAATGATGCACATAGACATGTTTGGGGAGGAGTCCAAGGAGGTCTCTTCCCCACCCCATCCTCCAGATAGGAGAAACTGGAGCATGTTTACGTGTTGATGAAAAATGCATCAGTGAATGAGAAAAAATTGATGTTACAGGACCAAAGCCCTTGAAACCAAGAAAGGGATAGAATCTATATTAAAAAGAGAGAGGTTAGACTGGGAAGGCAGAGTATAGGGTACAACTGCAGGCAGATTGGATGGTACGAAAATGAAGTTTCTGCCTAATCTCGCTTCTGTTTTCTCAAAGCATGAGGCTGGGTCATCTGTTAGAGGGTGGGGTGTGGCAGGTAGATATAGGTCTGAGAGAGGGAACTTTGTTGAATGAAAATGTATAGAGAAGGGTCATTGCACTCACTCAGGCTGCATCTGCTCTGTCATGTGAGCTTGTGTTCTTCTAGACTTGCCCCTGCTTTATTGGGGAGTTGGGGTGAAGGAGAGGAGAGAACACCCCAATTTACTTAAAACTCTAACTTCTCTCCGTATGTCAGTTGCTGAGCAGCTGCCTCATGTTAGGCACTGCACCCATCACGTCCAGTCTCACCCATCAGCTCCGAGGCAGGATTCCTCTCCCTACCTACTGCCCCACCTCCCGCCATATCCTCTGTCTGTTGATCATGCCCACCTAGCAGGGCAGTAAAGAAATAATAGAAAGTGCCCAGCATGATGCCTGTCACTTGGCACATGCCTAGTATACAATAGCTATATTTTCAGAGAAATGTTTCCAAACACCTGTTCAAGAGAATATGTGTTGGGTTACCTGTGGTTCCTGCCCAAAATAGGAGCTCCGAGGAGGGGGTGGGGCAGCCCAAGAATGAGTGACCCAGCACCCAGACGTGTTCAAGAGCTGCCAGAGCTTTCACTCTATCTTGTCTTTGTCTGAGATGGTATGTTCCCTGAAGAGAGTGAAGGGAGCCAGCCTTGAAATTCAGCCTTTTGTCATAGTTATTAAGCACAGTAATCATAATAGCAAATGTTTACTGTAGTGAGAGGAGCCTGGACTGATGAAATCATTCTTACATTGTTTAATGTTCTCAGTTCTGGGGACTTAAACTCTCTTTAAAGCAATGGTCTCAAATTGGTCACCCTCAAGGGCTGAATTCTGCCAGATTAACTATATGTGGGCAGGCAATTTCTAGTCAGCTACATGGGAAACCACTTTCTTTTTTAACATGGACCGTCCTACACATGTTTTCTGTTGTTATTTTATTTCCTGGCTTCTTCAGATGTTTGACTTTGCCTTGCCACCCTGCTTCAATGAGAAGAACCCAGTTTAGGACAAAGCCCCTGAGCACTACGCCTGCCCCCAGCTCTGGGCTACTCTGGGAGAAAGTTTTGGGGAAGAGAAGATTAAAACCTGACACAAAGCCTGCACTG